ATGCGAGAAGAGATGCTTTATCGAGATCCGATGTATATTCAGAGTTTTCGTGAGTCAGCGTAGCAATTGATGTAGCGGTTGTTTTGAGTCGATTATTCGCGTATCTGAAGAAGGCCCTGGTGTCGCGTGGATATGTCTTGTATTCGGTGAGAACCCGGAGGCGGTGGGCTGCTTTCTTTAATTTAGGCGAGAGTTTGAGATCGGATGTTCCAATGCGCTTTTCTCGCTCTAATCTACGAAGAAAGCGAAAGAGGCTGGCGTGGCCGCTCGAATTGTTGACCAGAGGAGTGAAGCGGTTGATGAGGGAAGTACAGAGATTCGCAAACGAGTTGTACATGTGATCCACGCTTACACAGTCGGAGAAGAGGAGTTTCCAATTCATAGCATCCAACTCAGAGGCGATAGCGAGTGTGTTCATCTTGCAGAAGTTTAAGCGGGGGCTCAGAACTGACTCAGAAGGGAGAAGAGGACCGACCTTAAACTCGATCATCATATGATCGGAGATCACGGGAGGGGAGCTTATGAGCAGATCACGGATGAGATTGGGGTCCGTGACTAGAAGGAGATCCAAAATCGAACCCGATACATGGATAGGATCCCTATTAGGTTGATTGAGATTGTTTCGAATGCAGCAAGCAAAGAGCTCATTGTCCGCACCTGACTAATGACCAAGAGTTTGTGAGCACAAGTCGATATGAGGAAGGTTATAGTCGCCAATAGCTATTGAGAGGCAGTCAGCATCTAAAAGTGCGTCGAATGCTGTACAGGAGTCAAGCATCCGCATGAGCCGGGCCTCTGAGTTTCCAGAATTCGAAACATAAGTGCAGAGAAATCGCGAGGAGTAGCACTGGGAACTCAGGGATAGGGCTACGAGCTCTCCCTGAGCATGCAGTTCCGAGAGAGCCGCCGTTCCGTCAGCGGATCTCTCGCCACTCTGTCCGGTGGGGCTATCCTCTGGCAGAGTGCTCAGCAGCGTTCGGTGAGTCTTTCGACAACCGAAAGTGAGTTTTACGCTCTCGCTGACGCCTCTGAGTCGTGTTTCTGGCTACGCACGCTCTTCTCAGAACTTAAAGAACCTGTGAAGTCCGTCTCCTACGAGGACAATCAAAGCTCTTTCAAATTGATCAAGAATCCTCAGTTCCACCAGCGAACAAAGCACATAGAAATTCGGGTTTTCTTTGTGCGCGAGGCCTATGAGCGTAAGCAGATTGATTATCATCATCGGACTTTATTAACTGAGTTAGTTTTCTATACCTACTATTAATATTCACAAACAAGACAAGACAATGGCAGTCTGCGTGACTGTGCTTCATTCCGGTTCGGCCGGCCCGGAGAGGGACATCCCTGCCGAACAGTGAAGCAGATGATATGTCGAACACTGCTCCCCGCAGTTCCGACATCTGCACTCATCGGTAGCTTCATGGAACCCCTGTCTCATGCCAGACACTGCTTGTGGTGGAGCCCGTGGGCCGCGAAGCGGGTGATGAGGTGTCTGGTAGCGTAGTTCGGTCCCTTCCATCTGTCCGACGAGAAGGCTTCGGTGAAGGAGACGTCTGGGTCGACCTCTGCGAGTCGCACCTCCCAGTCGCGGCAGTGCTCCTCGAATGCCTCCGTCATCGGGAGATTGAACCTGCGCTGGAGCTCCTCGGTCAGCAGCGGTACCCCCGAGAGCAGGTACGCCAGTCGCTTACGGCATTCCCGGTGAACTCCCATGGCCCTCTTCAAGAAAGTCGCCTTCAGACGATCGAGAAGCACGAGGTGGGACCTCGTCAGGTGCGGCCATATCACTGGCACTCCGTAACATGCCGTGGGCTCAACCTTCAGAGAGAACAACGCGACCGCCGTGCGTAGCGAGAGTTTGTGAGGATCCGGGATACCGTGGAATGCCGCCAGGCCAAGGCGTATGCGTTCCTCAAGGTGACGCGTGAAAGAGCACGATGTCGAAAAGAAGATTCCCAGGTATGGGAAGCTATTCACGAATTCCACGCTATCCGAGCTGAGACGCCGCGAGTCGCTCGCGCAGAGCCTTCCCCCTTTCCGAAATTTCATGGCCTTGGTCTTCGACACGTTGATCTCAAGATCATTCTCGGACACGAAGTGCCGAAGCGTCGACAGGGTTTGCCTGATGTGGAACAGGCTGTGGGAGACCAGGGAGAGGTCATCCGCATACATGAGGACCTGGACTTGAGGATGTCGGTCCTGGATGGACCTAGGGAGGTCACTGACCAGGACTGAGAAAAGCAATGGACTAAGACTGTCTCCTTGCGCCACTCCTGTGGTTTGGACGATGGGATCGAGTAGCACCACACCATCCTCCAGCATGACTCTCCCCGGTTGCAGTATGGCGGCGAGGAGCTTCAGCGTTGGCTTCTTTGACAGATTGATTATCAATACATCGTGATATCTGAGAACTTAGCTGATGTGCTCACAAAACCATTGCCGAAACCGACCCTTGAGAGACTGAGATCGCGTGCCGGTCTGAGACCATGGCCTGTAAGACAATCATTTTCGTAGTCATCCTGCTCGTGCGTCTCGCGTCCACATCGGCAAAAAACTATTTCACTCACGACGCTGACTGCAACGCTCTCTGCGTTTCTCTAAACATAAGCTGTACCATCAGCAAACCATTCGATGACTTCCAGAGGCTGTGCACTCGGTCCACTTCCTCATGCATGGATGAATCGTCCGAGACGGTCGTTTGCATGCGACCATTGCTCCCGCCTTATCGAGGTGAATGGATCTGGCCAGAATTTGAGGCCAAATTCCATCCCTACCGGCCTAGGATCAACGAATCCACTGTTCTGCACCTTGTCTTGGCTGGTGCGGGCTTGCTGCTTGTGCTCGTCCTGCTACTTGGCTCTGCTCTGTGATGATATTCTGAATGATATTCCCGGAACATCACTTTCAATATCGAATGTACACGAACCCATCACCAGAGCATGGAACTGGCGAAATAGATGATCCCTATCTCCCGACTCTTAGGCTTAGAGACACACTAAAAAAGAAGTGGGTTCCGGCAGAGAAATTGCGACCGATCGGGACAGCTCTATTCAAGGTTAGAACGGAGTCTGGCACCGAAAAGACAGCACATCGTGACCACTGCAGATCGCGGAGGAACGACGGAGAGCGAATCGAGGAAGAGCCTTGAAGGGTACTGAGAACAACGTGGACTGCTGTGGGTAACTTCGTCAGCAACTTCTCATTAGTGAAGCGCTAACGCTTAACTTTATTGGACTTTCATAGAAGCCTGATCGGCTTAAGGTAGAAGGTTCTACTACGACCAAGCATCCCTACATCTCCCCGCTCAAGTTGGTGACCATCCCCAACCGAAAAGACTGCGAGTTTTACATTCTCGAGCGGGTTGAATACGACGCTGCGGCGGATCCTGTGAACATGCTTGTTCCAGCCCGAGCGGCTCGGAAATGCCTTCTCGGAACTCGACGGTTTCACTTTCCGCGGCCGGCCCTGGCACTGCGTCGCCCACCGAGTCGTCAAACCCGTGCTGGTAGTCCGGCACGCCGTCAGGCGTTAGTGCATATTCTGACGCGTCATCGGCATCTTCGGGGACTAACGGTGCTTGTGGAGCCTTGGTTGTCGGTGGAAAGAGGACGGCGAGAGGACACCCGAAGAATTCTTCCAAGTCGTCGTTTTCTCTCGAAAGGGATCCATTCCCCTCTGGCGGGACCTCTGCCGGGATGGCTCGAGCCCCTCCGGACGATCTCTTCCAAAGCTGGTTGCGGTGCCGCACGAGCAGTCCGTCGTCAGAGTCCAGGACGACCATAGCTTTCCCCCGGAAACTCCGAACCGTGGCAGCAACTTCTCATTAGTGAAGCGCTAACGCTTAACTTTATTGGACTTTCATAGAAGCCTGATCGGCTTAAGGTAGAAGGTTCTACTACGACCAAGCATCGCTACAAGCCTGATACCGAGGAGGATGGCAGGTACGGAGTAGAGGCGATATCAGTCAACCTGGGCCGAACGACAGGCCTGGACGATTATATTCCACCATACAAAATGGAAGCCAAAATACAAGGTTCCATTCAGGAACTGTTGTGCGATACTGGCTCAGCCTATACACTCATACCCTTTAGAATCCACAGAGAGCTACGACCACGACCGAAAATCAACCCTTACAACATTCCAGTTTTCTCGTACACCAATCAGAATATTGATATCGTCGGAATAGCGGAATATGACGTCGAGAGCCGCGGAAGAGAGGAGAAGCTAAGGGTCTTGGTGGTTCGGAAAGGAAGAACTCTGATGGGAAGAAACTGGTTGAAGAAATTCGGAGAATGAATTCACTTTTCGGGTACACAAAAGATAGTAATGACAGCTCCAGAGCATCAGACTATGCCCAGTAATCTTCATTGAAGCGGAGCACGTTCATATACAAGTACTGAAGAACAGGAAAGGGAACCAAGACTGCGTAGGAGTCTGGCTAAGCGTACTGACAACGAGCACGGGAAAGTAAGATTTCAACAGCCCCCGTTCACGTGATCGTGGTCCTGAATATCCTATAGGCCAATCTCAATTATGGACACCACAATAAACTGCTGGGATACATGATCAACAGAATATTTTGTGTTACGAGTTCAAATATGCCGCGCGCTCTATCGCGCCATCTACAATAATAAAGAACAACTAGTTGGGTATGAGCCTTCATCAGGCACCTATCTCCTCGTGTTCCCTCCAAGTGAAGTGGCTAACAATTTGGCGACGAAGATCGGATGAAAAAAAAAAACTAGTAGAGAGTGTACAGTGATTCATCGCGAACATTCGGGGAAAATCAACGAAGAAGAAATCAAATCGAAGAAACCAAGCTCACGAAAAAAAACATCGACCTCCGACAGTATGGCGCAAGCGCAAACGAACCCAGGATATTTTCCAGAATTCTGCTCGAGCTCGGAAACTTGGACGCTGTGGGAGACTCGGCTTCAGAATCATCTGGAGTATCATCAAGTGACAGATCCCGAAAGAAAAAATGTGCGCTCTTAGCTTACATGGGATCCGAGGCTTTCCGGAAACTGAATGATAAAGTTTTCCCGGAACGGCAAGTCAAAAGTCTGCCCTACGAAGAGATCACCAAGATCCTCAAAACGGTGTACGAACCAGAACTCAATGTTTGGTCATCACGAAGTAAGTTTCGAGAGTTACGACAAAACAGTGCTGAGTCATTGCTGGAATTCGAGGGCCGGTTGCGAAAGTCAAGCATCGATTGCCATTGGGATCCGAAATGCCTGCAGGATAATCTCATAGAACAGTTTATCCGAGGACTGGCCGATACCCGAGCAAGACAATTTCTTCTGATGAAAGCCGAAAAATTGAACAAGCTGTCAGAGGTTTTCGAGATGTCGGAAAATTTCGCGAGCGTGCAGAAGTAAGTTCGGCACCTCCCAACGACTTCAACCCAAATGGAGTTCACAAGCTTTTCAACAAGCAACGACACCGAAAACCGAATACTCATCGTCGAAGCCAATCGTCTGCGGCGAGGCAGCAGATTCCTTCGGCAAGTCAAAACAGAACTGCCTGTTTTCGATGTGGAAATACAAATCACCTGGCTCCTGAATGCTTCTTCAAATCAGTGGCATGCAAGGGATGCGGGAAAATCGGTCATCTGAGACGAGTCTGTACAAAAAATACGCAATCTCAGAATTTCCTCGAAGAAACCCCATTTCATCATGTCACCTCTAAAGAGCCCTTATTCGTAACAGTCTCGTTGAACCAACGCGATGTCAGCATGGAAATCGACACGGGAAGCGGAATCTCCACAATGACATTGGATGCTTTCCGCTCGATCGCACCGAAACACCGGCTACAGAAGAATGACCTCTGCCTGAAGACAGCTACCGGAGAGAACTTCGAACCGCACTCGTACGCGGAGGTCGAAGTTTCTTACAAGGGCGTAACAAAAATTCTACGCTTGTATCTCATGCGAGAGGCCGTCTTCCCGACGCTGATGGGACGCGACTGGATTCGTCAGCTCCCTATCGACTGGACATCATTGCTCAACACCCAGAGTGTTCATAACTGCAAACAAGCTACGGATACAACGCCACGAGACTTCAAAGAAAAAGCAGAGAGCCTACTCAAAAAGTATGGCAACTTGACCAAGCCTGGCATAGGTTGTATTCCATCAACAGAAGCCACGCTGGAACTGACCACAGAATCGCCGAAACCCCTCTACGCCAGAGCTCGACCAGTCGCACACGCGATCATAGAAATGACCAACAACGAACTCGACTTCCTCGAGAAGAACGGAGTCGTACAAAGAGTCAACGCAAGCGATTGGGCCCATCCAATGGTAATCGTACCGAGAGCTCAGGGCCGTAAGGTCAGAATTTGTGGAGACTTCAAAGCCGGCATAAATCGACACATTCGAATCGATGAGCATCCGCTCAAGAACATCCGTCATGCGCTTGACAATATAGGGAACGGTACAAAGTTCTCGAAGCTCGACATCTTCTCGGCCTTCTTGCACATGCCAGTCCGAGAAGCCGATCGGAAATTTCTGGTAGTAAACACACACCGTGGACTGTACCGATTCAACAGGATGACAAACGGGCTTGCAAGCGCCCCAGCGATATGGCAGAGGTTTATCGAAGGCATCCTCGGGGGAATCGAAGGAGTAGAATGCGTAATGGACGACATTATCGTCACGGGCCCGACAGACGATGAGCATCTAAGAAGGTTGGAATCAGTGTTGGCCCGACTCGACCAGAACGACATCAGACTCAACCCCGATAAATGCGCATTCTTCGAAGAATCCGTAACGTATTGCGGGTTTCGCTTGAAGCACCAGGAAATCCAGAAATGCAACGAGAAGGTAGAAGCGATCAGGCAGGCGCCATCTCCGAAAAACGTCGGAGAGCTCAGATCATTCCTTGGTATGATCCAATTCTATGCGAGTTTTGCTTCAAAGCTCGCCGACATTGCAGCTCCCTTGTACTCTCTTCTGAAGTCCACTGTCAAATTCGTTTGGTCCGACAGGATGGAAGAAGCGTTCGCAAGGGTGAAGCAAGAGTTGTGCTCACCTCGGATACTCGTGCCGTTTGACCCTCAGAAACCTATCATTCTGGCGACAGATGCATCTCCATACGGCATTTCGGCTGTTCTTTCTCATCAATTCCCGGACAAGTCGGAAAGACCCATTGCGTTCTATTCCCGAGTGCTCACGGAAACGGAAAAGCGATACAGCCAGATAGACAGGGAGGCGTTAGGAATTAAGGTGGGAGTCGAAAGATTTTTCTACTACATATTTAGTCGAAAGTCCACTCTAGTTACGGACTCGAAGCCATTGTCTCAAATCTTCGCCCCCGACAAATCCTTGCCTCCATTGTCAGCGACCCGTATGCAGCATTACGCTGTGTTCCTCACGAATTTCAACTTCGATATCGTATACAGGTCAACGAGATTGCACGGAAACGCTGACGCGTTGTCTAGGCTGCCGCTCCAGAACGAGCAGCCCATAGCACCCGATCTCATCAATGAATTTGTCGTCCATCAGATTCAGGACACACCATTGCGTTTCGAAATAATTGCCAAAGAAACGAGAACCTGTGAGGAACTGAAACCGCTGTGGCTAAAGCTCCAAGCAGCTGGGCAATCGCATCGGAATTCAAAACACTTCGGAATCGACCTCTGTGAGTTCAGCACATACCACGACGGAGTCATCTTGAGAGGGCACAGAGTCGTCGTCCCGAAAACCTGCCGTCAGAAGATACTCAAGGAACTTCACGAGGGCCATTACGGCTCTGAGAAAATGAAAAGCCTGGCTCGACGATACGTGTGGTGGCACGGCATAGACAGAGATATCGCCAACATAACCCTGTCATGCACAGCGTGCCTCACGCACGCTCGGAACCCTCCAAGAGAAGTGATTCACAATTGGGAACCACCGGCGACCCCCTTCCAAAGAATTCACTTGGATTACGCTGGCCCAGTTCAAGGCAAATACATCTTACTGATAGTCGATGCCTTCAGCAAATGGCTGGAAGCGTTCATAACGCCGAACAAAACTACGGCAACTACTCTGATCCATCTTCGAGAAACGATCGCACGGTTCGGAATACCTCAAGTCATGGTTACGGACAACGACCCCACGTTTGTGTCGGGGGAGTTCAACAATTTCTGCGAAGTAAACGGCATAAGACACATGACTTCTCCGCCGTATCACCCAGCCTCAAATGGTCAGGTAGAACGCTACGTCGGGTCAATGAAAACAGCTTTGAAGAAGCTATCATCGGAATCCGGTAATCTCGCGTCAAGCCTTTCGCTATTCTTGTACAGACAGCACATGATGCCCAGCGCCACGGGTTTCAGCCCGGCCGCACGCATGCTCAATCGAGAACTGAGATCGAAGCTGGACCTGCTGAAGAAAAACCGTCAAGGGTCGAAGCAAGCGGACCTCCGAAATTCGCCGTGGGGGAAACGGTTATGGCAAGAAACTATCACTCGGCAGGACCGAAATGGGTTCCAGGAAAAATCTCGAAAAATTGTGGCACCAGGATCTGCGAAGTAGAAGTTCCGAATGGTATATGGAAACGACACTTCGAGCAGATTCGCCGACGTCATAAGGATTCGAGTTTCCCGAACAACGAAAAAGGATCCCTACTGCCGTTCATTTGTGATGTAGACAATGAGCGGGGGGAAGACTCAGGAGACGACGAGTTCTTCGACATCGGCGAAGGTGTTGAAGACGAGCAGTTGGACTGTGATGAAAATAATTGTGATAATAGGAATAGTGTGAACGAGAAATTAGATCATGGGAGAAAAATACTTGTAGGAGCTTCCGAAGTCCGTCGACAATCGAATCGAAGCACAAAGGGTGTCCCTCCGCAACGATATGACTCCTAAAGTCAGGGTCATCTGTTGTTCTTAGTCAGACTCGCTAGTCAATGGAAGATGAGTTTTAAGACCGCGATCTAAGCATTTCTCATCAGGGGGAAGTTGTTACGAGTTCAAATATGCCGCGCGCTCTATCGCGCCATCTACAATAATAAAGAACAATCAGTTGGGTATGAGCCTTCATCAGGCACCCATCCTCCTCGTCTTCCCTCCAAGTGAAGTAGCTAACAA